AATTTTACTGTAACTGATTTTCACACAGTTGAGTTATTTAGTTGCTTTAGTTTTTAAGGTTATAATTATGACTGATTTCTTACAGCTAAGCTTTGCATAACAAGATATTACTAGGACCCCAATGGAAATAAGTGATTTTTTTTTTTTTTTGGGGGGGGGGGGTTATCCTGGTAGGTAATTTACACATATGTCAATATGTATGATAATTATACTTATGTATACTTGTACCTAAATAAACTTAATTACTAAAAGTCACTGCTTGACGGTGGCCCATAACCTGGTGGCAAAAGCTCTTGCTTCACACAATGAGGGTCCTGGTTCGATTCCTGACGAGGGTAGAAACATTGGGCATGTTTCCTTACACTGGTTGTTAGTGTTGACCCATCAGTAAAGTGGGTACCTGGGTATTAGTCGGCTGGTGTGGGTTGCATCCTGGGACAAAACTGACCTTCCTCAAAATGCTCTGCATAACAAGGGACTTTCTATATATGTAGTAGTATGTCATTGATGTCAGCTAGGCCTGTATACCCTGTACATGTACTTGTAGAAAATAAGATATTATTATTATAAATAAAGATACCCAGGTGTTGTAGATGTGTTTTATTCAATAAATTGTTGGTATTTTATACAGTCAGGTAATGAGTTGCATATTGGGACTATCCACAGTGTTTATCTACTCAATTCTACACAAGTTGTACCCCCTCAAGACCCCTCAAGGGGAGTTTCCTGGGTTGCATCCTGGGAGACAAGATTGACGGACCACGATGGAAATAAAGACGGACAGCCCTCAATGATGCACTGACTTTCTTGGATTATCCAGGGTGGCTAACCCTCCAGGTTAAAAAATCCAAACAAATCTTATCTAATTGCCTCTCATTCCTCAGGCATTGTATGAACCCTACAGGTTTAGTGCTTCCCCTAAATAAAATAATCCATGAATTAGTGTAAGAGCACTCATGTTGTGTACAAGTATCATCTTTACTCAGTACTACCAGACCAGTGCAGTAATCTGTATTAGCAAGTAGCTAAACTTCATCTAAACTGGATCTTTGCTCCAGTTCCCTGAATTAAACCTGAATACCTTCCATTCCCCTCCCCCACGGGTGCTGTATAATCCTACAGGTTTAGCGCTTCCCCATGATAATAATAATAAACTTCATCTAGTGTATTGAATATTTGTACCAGATATTGAGTATTGAAAAGCCAAGGACTTGACCTTGAACCCACACCCAAGTGATATATATATATATATATATATATATATATATATATATATTATATATATAATATATATAATATATATATATATATATATATAATATATAAATATATTTTTTTTATTTATTTATTATCACACCGGCCGATTCCCACCAAGGCAGGGTGGCCCGAAAAAGAAAAACTTTCACCATCATTCACTCCATCACTGTCTTGCCAGAAGGGTGCTTTACACTACAGTTTTTAAACTGCAACATTAACACCCCTCCTTCAGAGTGCAGGCACTGTACTTCCCATCTCCAGGACTCAAGTCCGGCCTGCCGGGTTTTTCCTGAATCCCTTCATAAATGTTACTTTGCTCACACTCCAACAGCACGTCAAGTATTAAAAACCATTTGTCTCCATTCACTCCTATCAAACACGCTAAACGCATGCCTGCTGGAAGTCCAAGCCCCTCGCACAAAAAACCCTCCTTTACCCCCCCCCTCCAACCCTTCCTAGGCCGACCCCTACCCGCCTTCCTTCCACTACAACTGATACCTCTTGAAGTCATTCTTTTTTCGCTCCATTCTCTCTACATTTTCCGAACCACCTCAACAACCCTTCCTCAGCCTCTGGACAACAGTTTTTGGTAATCCCGCACCTCCTCCCAAACCCTTTCCAAAATACGAATCTCTGCATTATATTCACCCACACATTGCCCTCAGACAAAGACATCTCCACTGCTCCAGCCTTCTCCTCGCTGCAACATTTCATCACCCACGCTTCACACCCCTATAAGAGCGTTGGTAAAACTATCTCTCATACATTCCCCTCTTTGCCTCCAAGGACAAAGTTCTTTGTCTCCACAGACTCCTAAGTGCACCACTCACTCTTTTCCCTCATCAATTCAAAGAAATTCACCTCATCTTCATAGACCCATCCCGCTGACACGTCCACTCCCAAATAAACTGAATACGTTTACCTCCTCCATACTCTCTCCCCCAATCTGATATTCAATCTTTCATCACCTAATCTTTTGTTATCCTCATAACCTTACTCTTTCCTGTATTCACCTTTAATTTTTTTCTTTTTTTTACACCCTACCAAATTTATCCACCAACTCAACTTCTCTTCAGAACTCCCAAAAGCACAGTGTCATCAGCAAAGAGCAGCTGTGACAACTCCCACTTTTTTGTGTGATTCTTTATCTTTTAACTCCACGCCTCTTGCCAAGACCTCGCATTTACTTCTCTTACAACCCCATCTATAAATATAATTAAACAACCACGGTGACATCACACCCCCTTGTCTAAGGCCTACTTTTACTGGGAAAAAATTTCCCTCTTTCCTACATACTCTAACTTGAGCCTCACTATCCTCGTAAAAACTCTTCACTGCTTTCAGTAACCTACCTCCTACACCATACACTTGCAACACTGCCACATTGCCCCCCATCCACCCTGTCATACGCCTTTTCCAAATCCATAAATCCCCACAAAGACCTCTTTAGCCTTATCTAAATACTGTCACTTATATGTTTCACTGTAAACACCTGGTCCACACACCCCCTACCTTTCCAAAGCCTCCTTGTTCATCTGCTATCCTATTCTCCGTCTTACTCTTAATTCTTTCAATTAAACTCTACCATACACTTTACCAGGTACACTCAACAGACTTATCCCCCTATAATTTTGCACTCTCTTTTACCCCCTTTGCCTTTATACAAAGGAACTATGCATGCTCTCTGCCAATCCCTAGGTACCTTACCCTCTTCCATACATTTATTAAATAATTGCACCAACCACTCCAAAACTATCCCCACCTGCTTTTAACATTCTATCTTTATCCCATCATCCCGGCTGCCTTACCCCCTTTCATTTCCCAACTGCCTCACGAACTTCCCCACACTCCAACTGGCTCTTCCTCCTCCTCCAAGATGTTATCCCCCTTGCCCTATACACAAAAACACAGCTTCCCTATCTTCATCAACATTTAACAATTCCTCAAAATTTTCTTCCATCTTCCCAATACCTCTAACTCTCCATTTAATAACTCTCCTCTCCTATTTTTAACTGACAAATCCATTTTTCTCTAGGCTTTTTTAACTTGTTAATCTCACTCCAAAACTTTTTCTTATTTTCAACAAATTTGTTGATAACACCCTCACCCACTCTCTCATTTGCTCTTTTTTTTACATTGCTTCACCACTCTCTTAACTTCTCTTTTTTTCTCCATATACTCTTCCCTTTCCTTGAAATCACTTCTACTTTGTAAAAACTTCTCATATGCTAACATTTTCCTCCTTTAAACTACTCCTTTACATAAATCATTCCACCAATCGCTCCTCTTCCCTCCTGCACCCACTTTCCGTAACCACAACTTCTGCTGAACACTCTAACACTACATTTTTAAACCTACCCCCATAACCTTCGACCCCATGCCTATGCTCTCATTACCCATCTATCCTCCAATAGCTGTTTATATCTTACCCTAACTGCCTCCTCTTTTAGTTTTATAAACCTTCACCTCTCTCTTCCCTGATGCTTCTATTCTCCTTGTATCCCACTACCTTTTACTCTTTAGTGTAGCTACAACTAGAAAGGATCTGATATATCTGTGGCCCCTCTATAAACATGTACATCCTGAAGTCTAAATCAACAGTCTTTTTTCTACCAAAACATAATCCAACAAACTAAATGTCATTTCGCCCTACATCAAATCGTGTATACTTATTTATCCTCTTTTTCTTAAAATATGTATTACCTATAACTAAACCCCTTTCTATACAAAGTTCAATCGAAGGGCTCCATTATCATTTACAACCCGGGACCCAAAATTACCTACCACACCCTCTCTAAAAGTTCTTTCCCACTTTCGCATTCAAGTCCCTACCACAATTACTCTCTCACTTGGTTCAAAGGCTCCTATACATTCACTTAAATCTCCCAAAAACTCTCTCCCCCTCTGCATTCCTCTCTTCTCCAGGTGCATACACGCTTATTATGACCCACTTCTCGCATCCAACCTTTACTTTAATCCCCATAATTCTTGAATTTACACATTTTATATTCTCTTTTCTCCTTCCATAACTGATCATTTTTAAAATTACTGCTACCCCTTCCTTTGCTCTAACTCTCTCAGATACTCCAGATTTAATCCCATTTATTCCCCCCACTGAAACCTCCTACCCCCTTCAGCTTTGTTTCGCTTAGGGCCAGGACATCCAACTTCTTTTCATTCAAAAACATCAGCAATCATCTGTTTCTTTGTCATCCGCACTACATCCACGCACATTTAAAACAACCCAGTTTTATAAAGTTTTTCTCTTCTCTTTTCTAGTAATGTATACAGGAGAAGGGTACTAGCCCATTGCTCCCGGCATTTTTGTCGCCTCATACGACAGCATGGCTTACGGAGGAAAGATTCTTTTCCACTTCCCCATGGACAATAGAAGAAATAAAAAAGAACAAGAGCTATTTAGAAAAAGGAGAAAAAACCTAGTGTATGTATATATATATATGCATGTGCGTGTCTTTGAAGTGTGACCAAAGTGTAAGTAGGAAATAGCAAGATTTCCCTGTTTATCTTAGCGTGTTTTTGAGACAGAAAAGAAACCAGCAATCCTACCACATCAAAACAGTTACAGGTTTTGTTCACAGTCATCTGGCAGGACGGTAGTACTTCCCTGGGGGGTTGCTGTCTACCAACCTACTACAGCATATATATATATATATTATATATATATATATATAATATATATATATATGTAGTATTATTGATATTCCTATAATTTTTTTTTTTTCAGCAGGATGAGTAAGCAGGTAGCCAAAGATGGTGGGGGAAGTAATGGGGGACCTGCAAAGAGCTGGGTGCAGTTTGAGGAGGAAGATGGCAACCAACAGTCGCTGGCCAAGGATGGCAACACACCTGCGGTTATTGATGCCCAGTCAGTCCAAGTGAGTTATGAAAGTATTTTATGATACCTGCTCAGGGCTGGCCCAACCTACTGAATGAACCAAGAGACAAAAGTATACAGTGTAGGGAAGGATCATTATAATTATTTAAAGGCAATCAGGTTTGTTCCAAGGTGAGGATAGCTCCAATTTCTTGTATCATGAGTCCATCACTAGCACTGAAGGGTCAGTAGATAATATTGCAAAGCTTTACTCAGTTGACATACTCTAATAGGATGCATGTTATTAACAATTGATTGGGAAGAGCCTAGCTTAGTTACACAATTACAAGTACATCACATATTTAATGCAAAGATAATAGAAAAATACTGCATACCGCGTTCCTTAGTGCGGTAGTATTGTATTCATCTTGACTGAGAATCCCCTGGGTAAGACACTTGGTGAGGCAGGAAACAGACAAGTCACCTATCACTTGCTGCCCCTGTTACCTAGCATTAAAGAGGTACTTAGGAATCTGTTGACTGTTGTGGGATGCATCCTAGGAAGGACCTAAAGACCCCATTGAAAATAAGCTGCACTGCTTGGCCATTTTGGGGGGTTAGTAACCCTCCGAGGTTAATAATACATGAATAAAGTTGTCCCCCCCCCACTAAATTTTTGAATTTTGCAATTTGCATGTATAATGAGTTTCAGATTATATAGTGAGAAAATATTTCAGGTGAGCTTGGAGAACCACAATAGTCCAGAGAAAACCTTGACGAAAACTATGTCAGAACCAGCCAATGGTGTTCGCAAGCATTCTGTTACGTCTCCAACAACGCCCACCAGCATCACTTCAAATACGGGAGATACTCGAGTCACAATGTCACAGCTCAGTGCTTCACAGCTTCACAATGTGCCACTACATGACCCTTCACTGTCACCTCCAGCAAATGCTCAACCTGTAATCAGACAAGGCTTTGGTAAGTATTCATGGGGAAACACTTAACCTGTGTCATATAGCCAGAAAGTGTGGTCACTTAATGAACAGATGGTTAATATACTTTTTGTGTAAGATGATTCTTATTCCTATTTGAATGAAACTATCATCAAACAAAAATGTGAGCAGTGAGTGGTGTGAGTATTATACAAGGAATTCAGAGCATAGAAATTAGATGATATTATGAAAGGTTATTACTCAGAGAGTGGAGGTGTTGTTCAGGTGGTTTGTGCATTTGGAGAGGATAAAACAGAATAGGATGTCCAAGACAGTGTAAACTCTGGAATGGAAGGAAAGAGAGGTAGGGGTCATCCCAGGAAGGTTTGAAGAGAAACTAAGATGGACATTTTTGCATGGTAGGGGCCTGAGTATCCAGTTCAGCATTTTGGACAAAATTTAATTTAACACTTGTTTTTATGCAGTATTTCTCTAGTATGAGTGTTGCACTTTCAGCATGATAAAGTTGCATACCTGACATCCACCATTCCATGAATATATATATATTCATTTCATATTATTATATTCATGGAAAACACTAAACCTGTAAGGGTCATCAAGCCCTGCATAGCTGAGGTACAAGAGACAGTGAAGGAAAAAGGTGGTGTTGAGGGAAGAGGATCGGCTGAATGGATGGGAGCCATAGTTGATGCTAGGTAGCAAGAAGAATATAAGTCACATTACTGTGACCAGAGCAGCTCTGTAATAATAATAATAATACTATGACCAGAACAATTCACAAATAACCCTGATTTTTGAGAGGAAACCGTAGATGATGTTTCTGCCCATCCTGGACCATTGTAAAGTCCAGGACAAGTAAACATCAGCTATAGTTTCCTTTTGAAAATAAAAGTTATTTGTGAATTGATGAAGCAAATTAGTATCTAGAGGAAAGGTGGCACCATCAGAGAGAAGGGCAGTGGAAGTACTTCATAGATACGCTTGCTTCATAAAAAATAACTTCAGTATTATATGTGCACTACAGCTTTTTAACAGCTTTGCAATAATGAATATATCCTTTCAGCTAATGGTGATGTGATTGTAACATTATTGCCCCAGAACACTTCAATGCCGTGGATTACTCCAGCCCAGTTTCGGCCAGAGTTAGTTCCAGAAGAATTGATGGCACAAGGGTTGACGGTGAGTTTGTAAAAGTAGATATAGTATAGTAAAAAAAATTTTAATTGGTCTTAATAATTGCAGTGCATCCTCTCCTCACTTAGTGACGTACTCATTTACTTACGACCAGCTCTCTGACCAGTATGCATACCTAAATAATGTATATTAGAGCTGATTTCCTCTATTCTGTTTATTACAATATACAGTACACTGCTGTATAAACTATACCAGAAATGTTGTAAATGGTGCAAAGGTGACATTAAAAAAATATTAAGGATGGTTGACACAAACCCACTACCATTATAGTATGCTCCTCACTTAGTGACGAATTCGTTTACCAACGTGATCTTAGGAATGCAACTCCATCGTTAAGTGAGGAGAGGCTGTATTTGTTTTTATATATATAAATATTATAATAATTATTTTTAAGGTGACAGAAGCTTAGGTTGAATGTGAAAACATTTGCTCACTTAAAAATCTGGGAAAATAATTATCATACTGTACAGCATATGAATTATTGCACTGAAATATTATATTTGTACTAATTAAATCAATGCTTACCCATCAAAGATATGGGTATCAGTGCTTTTAAGTTGGTATTAAGTCTCAAGCTCACTCATAGATCCAGTTTAGCGACAGTATAGCAGGTACTGTAGTTCTGGATTTTCTTTTATTTTACTGTAATTTACGTAAGTAGAACATTCAGTTACTGTAAGAATATCCAAGGTGCATTTAACATTTAACATAATTTTATTGTGTTGACAGTTGACGGTTGAAGACTACGTTCATATAATGTCCCAGCTTGTTAATGACTACCGATTCACTCTGTATAACGTGTGCTACAAACGTATTTTGATGGCTTGGATATTTCTTGGGTTCGTTATTCTGCTGTGTATTCTCTTCTCGGGACTGTCACAACTTGCACTCTTTGGAGCTGGCATTGCATGGTTAATGATAAATGCAGCAGCTATATTTTTCTGCATGTGGGTCAAAATTAAGGTAAGAAAAGAGTTAATATTACATAAATAAAATAATGACTGAATGTAATATAGTTTTTACTGTTGTTTCTACCATTGTTATATTTAATGTGTTAATATAACCATAAAAAAATCATTGATCCCAAAGTAAGCCTTTGCTCTCTGGATTTATAATTTAACTGTCTTATATGATTACACCAGAAAGTATATTTAATGAAGTTAAATTGTATTGGATATAAACTCATAGTACAGCAATTATGAAATAACTTCTTTTAATTACTATACATTATGAATTTATAAAAATACTCTCTGTAAGATATAATTTTGCAATTACATTTGTGTGTGTGTGTGTGTGTGTGTGTATACTCACCTATTTGTACTCGCCTATTTGTGATTGCAGGGGTCGAGTCACAGCTCCTGGCCCCTCCTCTTCGCTGATTGCTACTAGGTCCTCTCTCTCCCTGCCCCATGAGCTCTATCATACCTCGCCTTAAAACTATGTATGGTTCCTGCCTCCACTACATCACTTTCTAGGCTATTCCACGGCCTGACTACTCTATGACTGAAGAAATACTTCCTAACATCCCTTTGATTCATCTGAGTCTTCAACTTCCAATTGTGACCTCTTGTGTCTGTGTCCCATCTCTGGAACATCCCGTCTTTGTCCACCTTGTCTATTCCGCGCAGTATTTTATATGTCGTTATTATGTCTCCCCTGACCCTCCTGTCCTCCAGTGTCGTCAGGCCGATTTCCCTCAACCTTTCTTCGTAGGACAATCCCCGTAGCTCTGGGACTAGTCTTGTTGCAAACCTTTCCACTTTCTCTAATTTCTTGACGTGCTTGACTAGGTGTGGATTCCAAACTGGTGCTGCATACTCCAGTATGGGCCTGACGTAGATGGTATACAGAGTCTTAAACGAATCCTTACTGAGGTATCGGAACGCTATCCGTAGGTTTGCCAGGCGCCCGTATGCTGCAGCAGTTATCTGATTGATGTGCGCCTCAGGAGATATGCTCGGTGTTATACTCACCCCCAGATCTTTTTCTTTGAGTGAGGTTTGCAGTCTTTGGCCATCAAAAACTATATTGTGTCTGCGGTCTTCTTTGCCCTTCCCCAATCTTCATGACTTTGCATTTGGCAGGGTTAAATTCAAGGAGCCAGTTGCTGGACCAGCTTGTAGCCTGTCCAGGTCTTTTTGTAGTCCTGCCTGATCCTCGTCCGATTTGATTCTTCTCATTAACTTCGCATCATCTGCAAACAAGGACACTTCTGAGTCTATCTCTTCCGTTATGTTGTTCACATATACCAAGAACAGCACAGGTCCTAGGACTGACCCCTGTGGAACCCCGCTTGTCACAGGCGCCCACTCTGACACCTCGTTGCGTACCATGACTCGTTGATGCCTCCCTGTCAGATATTCTCTGATCCATTGCAGTGCCTTTCCTGTTATGTGTGCCTGATCCTCTAGCTTTTGCAGTAACCTCTTGTGAGGAACTGTGTCAAAGGCCTTCTTGCAGTCCAAAAATATGCAGTCGATCCACCCCTCTCTCTCTTGTCTTACTTCTGTCACCTTGTCATAAAACTCTAGTAGGTTTGTGACACAGGATTTTCCTTCCCTGAAACTGTGCTGGTTGTCAATTATACACTTGTTTCTTTCCAGGTGCCCCACCACTCTCCTCCTGATGATCTTGTGATACAGGTCTGTAGTTTAGTGCCTCATGTCTGTCTCCCTTTTTAAAAATTGGGACTACATTTGCCATTTTCCATACCTCGGGGAGTTGCCCAGTTTCAAATGATGTGTTGAAGATCTTTGTTAATGGCTCAAACAATATCTCTGCTCCCTCTTTAAGGACCCATGGAGAGATGTTGTCTGGTCCCACCACCTTTGAGGTATCAAGTTCGCATAGCAGCTTCTTCACCTCCTCCTTGGTTATATGTACCTCATCCAGCACTTGCTGGTGTGCCCCCCTGTTCTGATTTCTTGGAGTCCTACTGGTTTCCACTGTAAATACCTCTTTGAATCTTGTGTTGAGCTCCTGACAAACCTCTCGGTCGTTTCTTGTGAATTCCCCATCACCCTTCCTCAGTCTGATTACCTGGTCCTTGACTGTTGTTTTTCCTCCTGATGGGGCTGTACAACAGCTTCGGGTCAGTCTTTACTTTTGATGCTATGTCTTTTTTCATATTGTCTCTGAGCCTCCCCTCTTATCTGTGCATATTCGTTTCTGGCTCTTCGGCTGATTTCTTTATTTTCCTGAGTTCTCTGTCTTCTGTACCTATTCCATTCTCTAGTACACCTAGTTTTTGCCTCCCTACACCTTTGGGTGAACCAAGGACTCGTTCTGTTCCTCCCATTATTTCTGTTTCCCTTGGGAACAAACCTCTCCTCTGCCTCCTTGCATTTTGTTGCTACATAGTCCATCATTTCTTGTAATGGTTTTCCTGTCAGTTCCGTCTCCCACTGAATGTCTTGAAGGAAGTTCCTCATGCCTGAGTAGTTCCCCCTTTTGTAGTTTGGTTTTTCCCAGCCTATTCCTGCTACTCTCTCCACTTGGAGCTTAACTATGTAGTCGAAGCACAGAACCACATGATCACTAGCTCCTAGGGGCCTTTCATACATGATACCCTCGATGTCCGAACTACTCATGGTGAATACAAGGTCCAGCCTTGCTGGTTCATCCTCTCCTCTCTCTCTGGTAGTGTCTCTAACATGTTGATGCATGAGGTTTTCCAGTACCACATCCACCATCTTGGCTCTCCATGTTTCAGGACCCCCATGGGGCTCCAGGTTTTCCCAGTCAATCTCCTTGTGATTTAAATCACCCATAACTGTGTGTGTGTGCGTGTGTGTGTGCATGCGTGTGTGTGTGTGTGTGTGTGTGTGTGTGTATGTGTGTGTGTATGTGTGTGTGTATGTTAGTTAGTTACCATTTTGTCCTAGGCACATGTCGATTAGACACTAGGCCTGTTGTATATGTGGGTGTGTGTGTGTGTGTTTAGTTACCATTTTGTCCTAGGCACATGTCGATTAGACACTGGGCCTGTAGTATGTGTGTGTGTGTGTGGGGGTGTGTGGTGTGTGTGGTGTGTGTGTGTAATGCGTGTGGTACGTGTGTGGTGTGTGTGTGTGGTGTGTGTGCGTGTGTGTGTGTGTGTGTGTCTGTGTTTTTGTTTGTGTGTGTGTGTGTGTGCGTATGTTTGTGTTTGTGTGTGTGTGTGTGTGTGTGTGTGTGTGTGTGTGTGGTGTGTGTGTGTGGGGTGTGTGTGTGTGTGTGTGTTTTGTGTAAGAAATCACAATAAAATGCGTGATTGCAAATATGTAAAAATACCACAGTGAAAATTATTTATATTTATTATCACGCTGGCCGATTCCCACCAAGGCAGGGTGGCCCGAAAAAGAAAAACTTTCACCATCATTCACTCCATCACTGTCTTGCCAGAAGGGTGCTTTACACTACAGTTTTTAAACTGCAACATTAACACCCCTCCTTCAGAGTGCAGGCACTGTACTTCCCATCTCCAGGACTCAAGTCCGGCCTGCCGGTTTCCCTGAACCCCTTCATAAATGTTACTTTGCTCACACTCCAACAGCACGTCAAGTATTAAAAACCATTTGTCTCCATTCACTCCTATCAAACATGCTCATGCATGCCTGCTGGAAGTCCAAGCCCCTCGCACACAAAACCTCCTTTACCCCCTCCCTCCAACCTTTCCTAGGCCGACCCCTACCCCGCCTTCCTTCCACTACAGACTGATACACTCTTGAAGTCATTCTGTTTCGCTCCATTCTCTCTACATGTCCGAACCACCTCAACAACCCTTCCTCATCCCTCTGGACAACAGTTTTGGTAATCCCGCACCTCCTCCTAACTTCCCAAACTACGAATTCTCTGCATTATGTTCACACCACACATTGCCCTCAGACATGACATCTCCACTGCCTCCAGCCTTCTCCTCGCTGCAACATTCATCACCCATGCTTCACACCCATATAAGAGCGTTGGTAAAACTATACTCTCATACATTCCCCTCTTTGCCTCCAAGGACAAAGTTCTTTGTCTCCACAGACTCCTAAGTGCACCACTCACCCTTTTCCCCTCATCAATTCTATGATTCACCTCATCTTTCATAGACCCATCCGCTGACACGTCCACTCCCAAATATCTGAATACATTCACCTCCTCCATACTCTCTCCCTCCAATCTGATATCCAATCTTTCATCACCTAATCTTTTTGTTATCCTCATAACCTTACTCTTTCCTGTATTCACTTTCAATTTTCTTCTTTTGCATACCCTACCAAATTCATCCACCAATCTCTGCAACTTTTCTTCAGAATCTCCCAAGAGCACAGTGTCATCAGCAAAGAGCAACTTCCACTTTATGTGTGATTCTTTATCTTTTAACTCCACGCCTCTTGCCAAGACCCTCACATTTACTTCTCTTACAGTCCCATTTATAAATATATTAAACAACCATGGTGACATCACACATCCTTGTCTAAGGCCTACTTTTACTGGGAAATAATTTCCCTCTTTCCTACATACTCTAACTTGAGCCTCACTATCCTCGTAAAAACTCTTCACTGCTTTCAGTAACCTACCTCCTACACCATACACCTGCAACATCTGCCACATTGCCCCCCTATCCACCCTGTCATATGCCTTTTCCAAATCCATAAATGCCACAAAGACCTCTTTAACCTTATCGAAATACTGTTCACTTATGTGTTTCACTGTAAACACCTGGTCCACACACCCCCTACCTTTCCTAAAGCCTTCTTGTTCATCTGCTATACTATTCTCTGTCTTATTCTTAATTCTTTCAATAATAACTCTACCATACACTTTACCAGGTATACTCAACAAACTTCTCCCCCTATAATTTTTGCACTCTCTTTTGCCCCCTTTGCCTTTATACAAAGGAACTATGCATGCTCTCTGTCAATCCCTAGGTACCTTACCTTCTTCCATTCATTTATTAAATAATTGCACCAACCTCTCCAAAACTATATCCCCACCTGCTTTTAACATTTCTATCTTTATCCCATCAATCCCGGCTGCCTTACCCCCTTTCATTTTACCTACTGCCTCACGAACTTCCCCCACACTCACAACTGGCTCTTCCTCACTCCTACAAGATGTTATTCCTCCTTGCCCTATACACGAAATCACAGCTTCCCTATCTTCATCAACATTTAACAATTCCTCGAAATATTCCCTCCATCTTCCCAATACCTCTAACTCTCCATTTAATAACTCTCCTCTCCTATTTTTAACTGACAAATCCATTTGTTCTCTAGGCTTCCTTAACTTGTTAATCTCACTCCAAAACTTTTCTTATTTTTAACAAAATTTGTTGATAACATCTCACCCACTCTCTCATTTGCTCTCTTTTTACATTGCTTCACCACTCTCTTAACCTCTCTCTTTTTCTCCATATACTCTTCCCTCCTTGCATCACTTCTACTTTGTAAAAACTTCTCATATGCTAACTTTTTTTTCCCTTATTACTCTCTTTACATCATCATTCCACCAATCGCTCTTCTTCCCTCCTGCACCCACCTTCCTGTAACCACAAACTTCTGCTGAACACTCCAACACTACATTTTTAAACCTACCCCATATCTCTTTGACCCCATTGCCTATGCTCTCATTAGCCCATCTATCCTCCAATAGCTGTTTATATCTTACCCTAACTGCCTCCTCTTTTAGTTTATAAACCTTCACCTCTCTCTTCCCTGATGCTTCTATTCTCCTTGTATCCCATCTACCTTTTACTCTCAGTGTAGCTACAACTAGAAAGTGATCTGATATATCTGTGGCCCCTCTATAAACATGTACATCCTGAAGTCTACTCAACAGTCTTTTATGTACCAATACATAATCCAACAAACTACTGTCATTTTGCCCTACATCATATCTTGTATACTTTTTTATCCTCTTTTTCTTAAAATATGTATTACCTATAACTATACCCCTTTCTATACAAAGTTCAATCAAAGGGCTCCCATTTTCATTTACACCTGGCACCCCAAACTTACCTACCACACCCTCTCTAAAAGTTTCTCCTACTTTAGCATTCAGGTCCCCTACCACAATTACTCTCTCACTTGGTTCAAAGGCTCCTATACATCCACTTAACATCTCCCAAAATCTCTCTCTCTCCTCTACATTCCTCTCTTCTCCAGATGCATACATGCTTATTATGACCCACTTTTCGCATCCAACCTTTACTTTAATCCACATAATTCTTGAATTTACACATTCATATTCTCTTTTCTCCTTCCAAAACTGATCCTTCAACATTACTGCTACCCCTTCCTTTGCTCTAACTCTCTCAGATACTCCAGATTTAATCCCATTTATTTCCCCCCACCGAAACTCCCCTACCCCCTTCAGCTTTGTTTCGCTTAGGGCCAGGACATCCAACTTCTTTTCATTCATAACATCAGCAATCATCTGTTTCTTGTCATCCGCACTACATCCACGCACATTCAAGCATCCCAGTTTTATAAAGTTTTTCTTCTTCTTCTTTTTAGTAAATGTCACAGGAGAAGGGTTACTAGCCATTGCTCCCGGCATTTTAGTCGCCTCATATGACACGCATGGGTTAAGGAGGAAAGATTCTTTTCCACTTCCCCATGGACAATAGAAAAAATATAGAAGAACAAGAGCTATTTAGAAAAAGGAGAAAAACCTAGATGTATGTATATATATATGCATGTGCGTGACTGTGAAGTGTGACCAAAGTGTAAGTAGGAGTAGCAAAATATCCCTGTTATCTAGCGTGTTTATGAGACAGAAAAAGAAACCAGCAATCCTACCATCATGCAAAACAGTTACAGGTTTCTGTTTCACAGTCATCTGGCAGGACCGTAGTACTTCCCTGGGTGGTTGCTGTCTACCAACCTACTACCTATTATTATTATTATAATCAAAAAGAAGCGCTAAGCTACAAGGGCTATACAGCAACCTACTACCTAAAATATAAAATAAAATCTGATTGCTTTATTTCCTTCATTCACTGTTGTATTTTTACATATAGTACTGTACATGTGTGTGCATATACATACATACATACTCATATCATAAAAGTAGACTTTCTATTTTATAATATGTATTCTCTGTCATTCAGCTTAATAAGTCTCTGGAACAGTGCTTAGCAGAGATCAACATTCAACTGGTACGCCATAAAATCATCTTGGGCCTTGATGACCGGGGTAAATTGTCTTGTCATAAAGTCAATCTTTGTTTCATCTACTTCGATACACACGACTGTTTGGTGAGTACATGACTTTTGTTTTAATATTTATTTCTTGTCCTGGTGCCTTCATTTGTATAGTGAAGTTTGTCTATGGTGGATGTTAAATGTTATTCACTCTCTACTTTACATTTTTTAGTAGGTAAATGACACAGTGGTTTGGTTTGGCTAGTTCTGTACAAAGTTTGGATCAAGCTAGGGAACAATAAAAGAGATGAAATAACTAAGTCCTTGTACCTTATGGAATTTTAACATTACAGAGAAGTTTCATATCAAAGCACTTACACAGTATGTCTGATTATGATATTGAAATTAAAAATATTCCTTTTTATAGCAAAGTTCATTTAGAAGCACTCCTCTAACACACTCATATAGTTGAGCACTAAACTTAAGTTGGTAATACAATACTAAATAGTAGGAAAAAGGTAAGAGTAATAAAGACAGTAAATGTTATTGTAATAAGCCTGCCCATTTTCATTAAAAAATTGACATTGAACCCTAAACTGTAACTGAAGGATTAAAAAACTTTACTTTTTAATTTATCTGCTAGAATATGTGCATATTAAGATTTAAATGCATTTCCCAGGCAAAATTGCAAGAAATTATTGAGCAGGAAGAACGGGCTGGACGTAATGTTAATAATGATGAAACTAAGATGACACCACTTCGTGAACGCTTGGACATTGACGATTCTGACATCATCATCACTGGAGCAACAAATAGACGCATCTCACGGCAACAAGTATGAAAATGATTACTATATCATTATATTGTATTTCTTAGTTAATAATACATATATATACTGTATTTCATTCCACATCAGGTGAGTACTTCATCTAGTGTTATAGCATCAAAATTGCTTTGAAATCTAATTGTGCTTATTGTAATGAATGTCTGCTTATATTTTTTGTATTACAAATGTGTAATGTTTTCAGAGAAAGTTTTGCATTTTAACTTGTGTACTCACAGGAGCTAGAAACTCTTAAAGTTCTTAATGCTCAACTGAATAATTTATGATACAAAAAGAGTTAATTTTACTATGGATGACTTTGGTTATGAGATATGTTTATCTATGAGTACAATACTGTTGTTCTATGCTCACAAGCTTCTCGAAGATCATTTAATCATGGAATACTCTAAACCCATATGGGTCATATAGCACTTGGAGAATAGAAAGTAATAAGATTTGATCCTAGGATGAGGGGGTAACTCCAGTTCCTTGGATCAAGAGTTCTTCACTGGCATCATGGCACCCTCATGAAGGATAGGTAGCTAAAATTCCTTGGATCAATAATCTTTCGTTGGCTTCAAGGTACCCCATCTTGAATGGGTCCATATTAGTAAAAACTATTACAAACAGCTTAGCTGCAACTGCCATTCCTACTATCCAACTTGCCAATTGTTTAAATAATAACACCTTGGATGAGGTTTGTTTTGGTGTGAATTTGAAATTTTGTAACAATTTTCAGCAGTTAATACAGATTTATGAATCTTGATACATACATGTGTGTAGTGCCTAGATCACATGGAATTCTGGTCTTATGCAGTCAGTGTTGTTCACAATCTCCTTCTAGTGTTCTGACTATTAATAACAATAATAATAATTCAGTGAGTTCTTCATGAAAAATTAGATCCAGGAGAATGAATATTGACTAAAAACACCAATTATTAACCCTTTCAGGGTCTGTCCCGTAGATCTACGACTTTACGTTCAGGGTCCAAACCGTAGATCTTCGTCATGAGCTCAGCTCACTCTGATAAACTGTGAGTGGTACATTTGGGCCTAGATATGTGAAAATACATCTGTGTGGTATGTGTGCACCACATAAAACAGATCTTGCACCACACTGTGTATAATGAGAGAAAAAAACTGAAATCATGATTTTTCGATTAAAACAGCGACTTTGCAGTGTTTTTTCGTATGTTTTTTATAGTTATATTTGCGATTTCTTGGTCTCATTTCATAGAATGGAGGACATATTACAGAAATAGAGATGATTTTGATTGGTTTTAGGACTGGAAATGGCTTGAAACTGAGCTCAAAGTAGCAGAAATGTTAAATTTTTCCCGATATTCAAGAGTAAACAAACGACCTCACACGTCTAATACACGCCAGCTGGTGGGTCTAATATGCATTCACAAATATGGTGATGATATTTATACAATTATTACAGTATTGCATAACAGTAAATCTTCTATTTTTGGTGTGAATAAAAATTCATTATGTGAATAAAAAATCAAAACGGAATTTATTTGTAAAGCCTCAAAATGTAACTAATGAACAGAGGAAATGTTAGTTTAGTTCCAGGAATACCTACATTGTTTATTCTGGACCCTATTTTGAAATTGGAATATTTTGAACTTTGTTAAATTGGCCAAATTAACAATTTCCGATCACTTTAATTTGTAGTTGAAACAGTTGACTTGGTGATTTCTTGTGCTCAATCGATAGAATAGAAGTAATACTAGTGAAATAACTAAGAATTTGGTTGACTGGAATAATGTAATTGGCCTAAAATTGGAGTCAAAGTTGACAAAATCGCCAATTCGTAAATATCGCTGACACATCAAAATTCGCGAGAGCATAATTTCGTCAATTTTCCATCAGATTTCGTACTTTTTGTTTTGTTACCTTCACAAAAAGATTCTCTACCATTTCATAAGAAAACATAAATTTTTTTTTTGAAAATTCTTGGACACTGGGGCACCACTTCAGATTTGGGCCTTGGACTCTGAAGGGGTTAAATCTGAGGGAATAAGAATGAGGAACTGCCTGCAAATAATTATATAATTGCTATATTGTATCTGTTTCACGAAGCTTAGAGAGGATTACACATACAGTGCTGCACTTATAGGCTGTGAGAGTCAGTTTTGATACTTTTATCAAGTTCATATTGTTGTTATTTTCTTGTGTGCACAGAGCTAGTTTTTTTTTTATTTTTTTTTTTTAACAAGTTGGCTGTCTCCCACCGAGGCAGGGTGACTCAAAAAGAAAGAAAATACTTTCATCATCATTCAACACTTTCACCTCACTCATACATAATCACTGTTTTTGCAGAGGTGCCCAGAACACAACAGTTTAGAAGCATATATGTATAAAGATACACAATATATCTCTCCAAACTGCCAATATCTCAAACCCCTCCTTTAAAGTACAGGCATTGTACTTCCCATAAAGATTTCAACAACCATTCTCTTGTCTTTGTTCACAGAGCTAATTATTGTATTAATATGACGACCCTGTATTTAACAGCTAGGTATGTATAGTAGGTTGGTAGACAGGGAGGTACTATCATCCTGCCAAGTGAGTGTAAAACGAAAGCCTGTAATTGCTTTACATGATGGTGGGATTGCTGGTGTCGTTTTTCTGTCTCATATACATGCAAGATTTCAGGTACATCTTGCTACTTCTACTTACACTTAGGTCATACTACACATCCATGTACCAGCATATATTTACACATCTCCTCTGGGTTTTCTTCTATTTTCTTACTAGTTCTTCTTGTTTATTTCCTCTTATCTCCATGGGAAAGTGGAACAGATTTCTTCCTCTGTAAGTCATGCATGTCGTGAAAGGCAACTAAAATGCTGGGAGCAGGGGGCTAGTAACCCCTTCTCCTGTATACATTACTAATGTTTAAAAGAGAAGTTTTCGTTTTTCTGTTCCAGGCTGTCTTGGTGGGTGTAATTACAGGATACAGTTTTCTATGTGTCCCCTCCAGTAATTACACCCACTTGGACAGTCTCTACAGTAGACCAGCTAGACAAGACCAAGTTCCCATCCAGCAAGGTCACTGAGAAGGGGCCAAAAAAAAAAAAAACTTGTGAACTGTCATATCTGAGCCCCTCTGCAAAGACAGTGATTATGTATGAGTGATGGTGAAAGTGTTGAATGTTGAAGAAAGTTTTTTTTTTTGTTGGGGGGAGGGGGTATCTTTGGTTTTGGGTCACCTTAATTCAGTGGGAAATGGCCAGTGGGTTAAAAAAAATAATTTTAGGGTAATTATTTAAAAAATTAAGATAATAGTGTGAAGGTAGAAAATTGAAAGTGAATATAAATAAGAGTAAGGTGATGAGGGTATCAAATGATTTAGATAAAGAAAAATTGGATATCAAATTGGGGAGGAGGAGTATGGAAGAAGTGAATGTTTTCAGATATTTGGGAGTTGATGTATCAGCGGATGGGTTTATGAAGGATGAGGTTAACCATAGAATTGATGAGGAAAAAAAGGTGAGTGGTGCATTGAGGTATATGTGGAGACAAAAAATGTTATCAATGGAGGCAAAGAAGGGGAATGTATGAAAGTATAGTGATACCAACACTCTTATATGGGTGTGAAGCTTGGGTGGTAAATGCAGCAGCGAGGAGATGGTTGGAGGCAGTGGAGATGTCCTGTCTAAGGGCAATGTGTGGTGTAAATATTATGCAGAAAATTCGGAGTGTGGATATTAGGAGAAGGTGTGGAGTTAATAAAAGCATTAGTCAGAGGGCAGAAGAGGGGTTGTTGAAGTGGTTTGGTCATTTCGAGAGAATGGATCAAAGTAGAATGACATGGAAAGCATATAAATCTATAGGGGAAGGAAGGAGGGATAGGGGTCGTCCTCGAAAGGGTTGGAAAGAGGGGGTAAAGGAGGTTTTGTGGGCGAGGGGCTTGGACTTCCAGCAAGCGTGCATGAGCGTGTTAGATAGGAGTGAATGGAGACGAATGATACTTGGGACCTGACGATCTGTTGGAGTGTGAGCAGGGTAATATTTAGTGAAGGGATTCAGGGAAACTGGTTATTTTCATATAGTCGGACTTGAGTCCTGGAAATGGGAAGTACAATGCCTGCACTTTAAAGGAGGGGTTTGGGATATTGGCAGTTTGGAGGGATATGCTGTGTATCTTTATACGTATATGCTTCTAAGCTGTTGTATTCTGAGCACCTCTGCAAAAGCAGTGATAATGTGTGAGTGTGTTGAATGATGATGAAAGTATTTTCTTTTTGGGGATTTTCTTTCTTTTTTGGGTCACCCTGCCTCGGTGGGAGACGGCCGACTTGAAAAAAAAATATATATATATATGCATATAAAATTGGGGCCCTGATATTATATTCTATATGGTTTAGTTTATTATATTATTTCAGGTCACTTTTTATATTGTATCTTTATATATGCTTCTAAACTGTTATATCTGGGTTCCTCTGCAAAAACAGTGATTATGTATGAGTGAGGTGAAAGTGCTGAATGATGATGAAAGTATTTTCATTTTGGGGATTTTCTTTCTTTATGGGTCACCCTGCCTAGGTGGAAGACGGCAGACTTGTTAAAAAAAAAAAGTTATAATAATGACAAAAAGTCTTTATGAATGTTTTATGGGACTTTTTATATGCAAACGAAGCTCTTGTAAAAATTTAAATAAGGAAAACTTGTAGTGCTTTTGTAAATAATAGAGAGAGATTAAGAAGATAAATTCTGATGAGCTGTTGGAGTATGAGCAGGGTAATATTTTGTGAAGGGATTAAGGGAAACTGGTTAGCTGGACTTAAGTCCTGGAAATGGGAAGTACAATGCCTGCACTTTAAAGGAGGGGTTTGGGATATTGGCAGTTTGGAGAGACATCTAAACTGAATGGATATAAATGCACTGGAAAACATACAGAGGATCTCATGATCCCATGTATCAGAGGATCCCATGATCCCATGTATCAGAAATCTTCCGTATGAGGATAAACTGAGGGCCCTGAATCTGCACTCTCTAGA